ACACCATAGGGTGTAGGGTGGGCATTTGTAGAAAAATGTCGTCTCAAGTCTCCTTAGAGATATATATATATAATGGGAATATAGTAGAGGAATACTCCCATAGGCAAGTTACCTCCTCACCAATCGGGTTCAGTTGTAAATACATCCAGGAAGGATGCAGTTTATGAAATACTATCCCGTATCACTGTAGGAAGCTGCCTGGAAAGACTAGGTCAAAGAGCACACCTCCTTAAGGACAGGGTTTCCCAGTACTCATAAAAAGAGGAAAAAGTGGTAAGGACCAGGTGACAACACTAGGGCCTCTCAGTCTAAGGCTTGGGGCCACAGCCAGAGTTGGCTCTGGCCCTGAAATCCAGCCTCCCTGAGCTTTGGTTTGGGTGCTAAGAATTGAACCCAGGGCCTAGGGCATGCTAAGCATACACTTAGCCACTGAGTACCGCTAGCCCCTAGAAGTGGCTTCATATCACATTTCTTTGTTTGAGACAAGGTCTCACTATGTAGCCCTGGCTGGTCTGTAACTTGCTGTGTAGACCAGGCTGGCCTCAAACTTATACAGATCTACCTGTGTCTGTATACAGATCTACCACATCCGGCTGTGTAGACCAGGCTGGCCTCAAACTTATACAGATCTACCTTTGTCTGTATACAGATCTACCACATCCAGCTATATCACACTTAGACTACCACTAGACTCTCCTTGACCAAACAGGTAACTCCAAAGCCACAGAGAATTGTGACAGAAGCCATTGAGTACCTGGAAAGATACTTTTCCACCTGAGTTAGAATTGCCAGTATAGGCATTCCTAAGACCACCATACACTCTATTCCAAAACTGGAGGAAGGCTTCTGTTATGGACACTATCTCAGTCCTTTCTGCCAGACAGTCTGAGTATACAAGGAAAAAGTATAAGTCTAGTGTACATGCCTCTAACCTCAACATTTGGGAGGTGTCAGGGGGTGGTGGTGGTGGAGGAGGGTCCAAGGAATATCTCAAATTCAAGTCCAGATTAGCTATTTTTGCAAGACCTTGTCTCCAAAACCCCAAAATAAACATAAATAAATGAGGTCCACCCAAGATAAAGCAGTTCAGACCAATTGTTGCTAGGCAAGGATCCGGGCCCACTCAGTATTTGCCAGATCTTCTGATTTTTCCAGAGAACTAGAAATCTGGCCTTATGCCAGAATCCTGATTTTTAGATGCTGGTAACTAATGAAATTTTTATAAACTCTGTGCCGTCCACGGCAAACAAATCTGCAAAGCAAATTCTGCAGCAGGGTACTCCAGTTTGCAAACCCCCAATCCTGAAGACCTGCTTAGGGTCTCAAGGAACGGAAAGGCAAATCCGGGCCTAGTTCAGCCCCCTCAACTGTGTCCTTCCTCGGGACACCGTGGAAGGAGCTCCGCGGAATTAAATGACACATTTTTTGAAAGGATTCCACTTCTAAAGCTGCCCTATGGCAGCAGAGCTGCTCAAGGCTCTATAAGGAAGTGAGCAGGGGGGATTCTCCAGGGAATGTGTGGAGCAGCACTGAACACGGGGGTGTGGCAGGGAGGGAGTTCCGTGCTGAAGATCCGAGGCTGTCTCCAGGCACCTTCAGGATTTAAGAACCAGCAGAAAGAAAATCAGGACGCTCCTTGCCCCACCCAGCCATGATCGAACCTGAATCCAAGTGCCTGAAACTCAACTTGGCATGTGCTTTCTCGTCAGTACACTTTAGGCAATATCTGTAGAGGCTGGAGTTTTTGTCCACACTAGCAGGACAGAGTCCTTCACCCCTCCCCCAGCCACCCCTCCCACCCACCCCCAAACATAAATAAGACCCCTGCAATCACCACAGCACTAGAACCTAAAGAATGACTGCAGTATTTAAAACGGGAAGAGTATTTATTTCACTTCCTTTTCCACTCTGAACTGTGTGAAAGGTTCTCCTGAAACAGCTGAGCTGACATGCCTTATGGAGAATCAGAGCAGCACGCATGCACGCACACATGAGCAGCCATTTCTATAAACACCCGAGAAAAGCACTCAGCCGAAATGGCCCAGAATGCTGGGGATCTACTGCTGAGCCACGGAGGCACTGCGGGCCTCCCCACTTACACCGTTGGGGCAGCCCTCCTGAAGGAGAAAATGCCTTTGCTCAAGGTGGCAGTGGGTGTCCATGTGAGCTGCTGAACCCGGGGAACATGGCTGACATGGCCAGGCCCGCCCAACAGCTGTGGTGAGTAACACACCGAGTTCATACACCACTCTTCGCCTCCCAGAGCCCTACTAAAGGTCACACCCCTCACTGAGGGTACAGGCCTGTCTAACTGCCTTATAGATTCAAACTTTCAAAGGTGCCCTTTCATATGGCAACCTAGATGTGGATCCCGCAAAGCACCTGTTTTTTCATGATCACTAGGAAATTCAGATTTATATGGGTGTTGGCAGCCACCTCCAAGAGACTCATTTTCCAAAGGAAATAAAAAAGAAGAGGTGGTTACACAGTCCTTCTTTTAAAAGGCGAACAAGGCCGAAAACCCCAACAAGAGCACCATTTTGAAACCAAAGGTTCAGGATCTCTCCCACAAAATATCAAACCTTCACACCAAAAATCCTCCACGCCTTTCCACACAATGCCAACAACTTCTTAAGCTGTCTCAGGGCCGAAGGGAAGGGTCTGCTGCCTGATCGTAACAGCAGTTACAAACGACCCTTCCCAAGCTGATCAGACAGCACGTCCACATGTGAACGCTTTCCAACTTGTCCTGTGCATGTTTAATTGGAACAAACCAGAGCCAGCTGACCAAGGTCCCTCTAAGTCCCTAATGCCCATTCCACACAGCAGATGTCTTTCCAGCCACGTTGGTGTATGCTGCTTGGCCTACCGCTAGCAGAAGCGCCCCACATTTCATCCCCGAGGCCCTGAACTCCAGCAAGGACCACACCTCTCTACTTAGGGTTCAGGCGTGCTACCTAATAAGTCACATGGGGGACAGATCAGCACTGAATCACGTCCCTTAGGAAGGCTAACTGGTCGCGAAGTTAATCCGCCAACCATTCCTTCATCAGCCTCCCCTGCAGCCTGAAGCAGTTTTATTTTAAACCTCTCAGGGGGCTCTTGGCCAAATTTAAAACCACCTTGGCAAGCCCTGAAAAGTAGCCGCCATCCAGCTAAATGAGTCCTTAGTCATCCCTAAAAGGATTCACGCAGAGTGCGGCTTCCCCCCGCCACGCCGCGACCCCTCCGCTGCAACCCCACCAGGGAACGGAATAAAAAGCTGCGCCATCTGACTGCCCGCCGCCAGCGTCTCCCCAGGTGGGGCGGCCCCGCAGCGGCGGGGTGCGGAGTCCCGGGGGCGGGGCGGGCAAGGGAGGGGCGGGCCCGCTCCCCGGCCAAGCCACGCAAGCCACTCTCTCAGCCCGGCAGTTTGGGGGGGCTCCGGGGGGCTCCTAAAGGTTGGGGCCAAGTAAGGAGAGAGTGCAAGAGTTAAACAGCATCTTCTCCAAAAATGTTTGCAGCCTCTAGGCCGAGTGCGGAGTCCTGGGCGCCCAGGAATGCTGGCCGGCCAAAGGTTAGCTAAGCCCGGAGCGGGGGAGAGGCGACGCCGCTAACCTGTATGCACTCTGTAATGGGCTTTAAGATGGGAGGATTTTCCATAGACTTTCCCACAGCCACTGTAGGGGCACTTGTGCCTCTTTTCGGAGGCGTGTTTCCCCTTCGCAGCCACTCCAGAGTGGAGGAGGGAGAGCGGGCTGGGCGTGTTGCCAGAATCCTGTCTCTCCTCCGGGCTGTGGGAAGGACTCGACCCAGATTCGGTGGTCACGTCGCTGTCGGATCCTATATCCTCATCGGGACTCTCCAGACTGTCGCTGCACACCGAGGGGGTCTGGATGGGTCTGTACTTGTTCAGGTCCAACAAGCTCTTGGCGATGGTGACCAGTGTGCAATAATCCTTCCAGGTGTCCCCCGGGTCACCGTGCTCCTTAGTCACCTCGCGCTCAGGTAGTCGCAGCCGCTCGGCGTCCGGAGCGCCCCCATGCTCCGGCACGGCGGTGCGGTTGGAGATGGAAACCAGACACTGGGCAGCCACGAAGTCCATGTAGGCGGCCGCGGACATGGTGCGGGCGACGGCACCCCGGGCGGTGCGGCCAAACTTGACGGTGGCTGCGGAGCTTCGGCTCGCCCTGCCCTGGCCTCGGACGACGAGCGGTGCGGCGAGGCCGAGGGGGCGGGGGGCGCGGGAGCTCGCGACTCGCGGGAGCGCCGAGGCGACCTCAGCCCCTCATCTTTACGTAACCGGCTGCGCCTCCGCACGCAGCAGCCGCGGCCGGCTCCGCCGCTGTCGCCGCCGCCCTGCCCGGCGCCCCGCGCGATTCCCCGACGGGCGCGCCCTCCTCCCTGAGCCGCCTCCTTGGAGAGATGCCACACGTGGCGGTCGCAAGTTTATTCGACTGCAAACGCGTCCGAGTCGCGGGGGAAGGCAACTGCGAGCCAGGCGCACGCCCTCGGCCGCCTCTCCGCCGAGCTCACGCCCCGGGGCATCAGCCGAGGACGCGGACGCGGGGGGCGGGGACCGAGCCGGGCGCCGCGCCTCCTAGAAGACACTTCTTCCCGCGTCCGCCGACGGCCGCCGAGCCCCTGGTCCTGCCGCGCCGCGCCGCTCCGGCATTCTCCAGCTCAGTAACAATTTCGCAGAATCCCATCACGTCACAATCCAGGCCCCCTCCAATTGGCCAGTGGGGAGGGTGATTCAACTCTGTTTACTTTCTCCCCCTGCCAGTCAGAAGGGCCCTTCGGTGGAGAGGTGCGTCTAGAACTACGGCGCGCGGCCAATCCGACCGTTCCGTTCCGCCGCCGCGTGCTGCCCCTCCAGCCCCGAACGCTGACATTTAAAAGGGAAACTGCTCCGAGCCGGGCGGCGCAGCCCCGCGGATGCCGCCCGGTCCGCGCGCGCGCCCACGCCTCCCGGCCCACGTGCCAGCTGGCGTGGCTTGGAGACGTATCTCCCCCAGGCGGTTACACCCGTCCCTAGGGACGAAACAGAACTTCAGCTTCGGGTTTCCAGCCCTCAAACAGTTAAGTGACTTCCTGCAAACGCTACAGTCCCAGCAACCAGCCTTCCAATCAAAAGTAAGTTGGTTGATGTCACTGGCATTGGCTCAGCCAATCAGAAGGGCGTTCCGAAAGCAAGCGCTCGACACTTGTAAACCTGCGGAGCTGTAGTGGAACCGGACAGATCTTTACATTTTGTGTTGCTGGTGGTAACCCTGAAAGATAGGTGGGAGGACGGAGTGATTAATAAATGCAGTATGAATCTAGTTTTAAACAACCCCTCAATATGGCAGGCCACGTTATCCAAGGACTCTCTGAAGAGACAGCATCAATTGTTTCTTGTTTGGATTGCAGCACTTTGGACATGGCTAAAAGTTCTTCCACCCCACACATAAACTATAAGAAATTCATCGAAAAAAAAAATCACAGCTAACAAAAGATCTAGTTCCATATCCAACGGGCCTTGCACAGAAGCACCACATCTTGGTATTTTGCTATACCCCAATGTTCCTACTGCCCCAAGTGCCATCTTAACCCAGGGAAGACCAGCGGAAGCCCCTTATTTGCATGACTTTAAAAATCCTTTTCAGGGACTCCTCCCAGTTCCTGCAGGGTACATTTCCTTCCCTAGCTTTACAATGTGGAGAACAAGACTTTTCTACCTTATCAGGTAGATAATGGCAGAACTCAATAGAAACCACAGGGTTCCTGATTCCCAATTCTCCTTTAGAAGAACCAAGCCCCTGTGAAACATTAACTATGTTAAATAGATTCTTAAGAACTGGAATCAGCCAGAGATCCTAACCAGCTGAATCTTGTGGCATTACTTGATCAACAATTAGTGTGGGTTTGTCGTGAATGCTGGGGTTGTTTTCCATCTTGATAGCTGAGCAGAGAAACTAGGGCCAATATCCCTAGCGGGGGCATACTGTGAGGGGCACTGATGATGAAAAATCCATCCACTTATCCTGAGTATGAAAGGCTCTTGTTTCTATGAAATGCTAATTTTGCTAATTTCACAATATCTAACCCTGACTCCCACTGCTGATTAACCTTTAATATTGGGGATGCTTCCACGGGGTTCTTCTGGGTCTCAGTTTGAAGGTTAGAGTAGATTGTTTTGACTTTTAAAGTGATGCGGGAAAGACACCACACAAGGTCATTTCCCGGGAAAAGAACATGTAGAAAGAATTACCAGCGTGATCACATCAGTGTCCAACCCCATGAGAGCATGGAGACTTGCTCTGTGCCAGGCCCAGACCCAAACACCCTCATGCACCCTTAGAGCAGCCATGAAACAGGGAAGCCATCTTGGATTTTTTTTTTTTTTTTTTTGCATTCTAATAACCTTAATTTCATGAAAGAATTCACAGGAGCTGGCCATGATGGTGCACACCTGAAGTCCTAGTACTTAGAAGGATGGAGCATTTGAGGAGGCCAGCCTGGGGGTAACCTGGGCTCCAGAGTGAGATCCTGCCTCAAGAAAGAAAAGAAAGGAGAAGGAAGAAAAAAAGGGAAGGAGGGAGGGGGGGATTGAGTTTGCCTAATTTGTGATCATTTTTCTAGAATAAACTGTCCCTAGGATACACGATTCTTAGAATTTGCGCCTCTGCCTGTCTCCTAGGGCACAGCACAGATAACCAGTGGCTTTCTCTAGGAGCCCCATGATCTAAGCCTACACAATCTCCCAGACCTGTGTTTCTACTGGCAGAACATACACTCGTGAAAAAGTCTCCTCTGCCTAGGTCTGAGTAGTCACCAAAAAATTTTAAGACTAACATCAGCATTATTCTCAAAAAAGAAAAGAAAAGCCTGTATCTTGCCTTAAAGATTATGATTCTGAATTTAAATAGAGTAACCTCACGATTTTTTTATATGTAAACTTTAACCTCCCTTAATTCTTTGCTGCCTTCTCTTTAGTGCCCTTTGATTTCATGTGGTTTGGACTGAGTTCTCCGATTCAGTTATAAAAGTCAAGAAAGCCGATTTCTTACAGATGTGCAAACAAATGGCTAGCTGATTCAGAGAATGGCTTCAGACCCAGCAATTCTAACGTTGCACACCATGCTCCCCTTTCCTGACCGTTCATTCTCAGATATTTATGTTCTTGGCAGCAAGACAGGCATGGGGACAGAAATGCAAAGGAATCTGTCCTAGATGAGAGCTACATGTTAAAAAACATGCATGTGCTTGATAGCACATAGCACAAGAAGTGACAATTCCTACGTCATAATTTTCTCCCTTGTATTTTTCAGCAATGTTTTCCTTGCTGGGTTGGAATGTACTATAATAGTTTTATGATTAAAACCAGCTTATGCTATTTAGCCAGCATGCGGTTGTCTCAATTAAATTTTGGCAAGTTATCCTGTTAATATTAGGCCACATAAATATAAGAGGTCTGCTTTCCCAAGTCAGTCTTTATATTACATTTCTACTCCAAATGCCTCCACCCAGAGGAACACTAGAATTCGAAGATTATAACTGCTTCTAGTTTATATTGTTTGCCTCTCCACATTCTCCCTAAGCTTATGCTTTATTATTCAAGTTCTCAAGGGTATGACTTATGAGCCTGTAGCCAGAACAGTGAGCCTTGTTTACAATGCTCCCTAAAATAATTATCATAATTAAGTGATCTAGTACAAGGTAGTGCCTGAAGGGTACAGGCCTCTTGGATCTAAGATGAGATCTGTGACCTCACCCAACCTCTCAGAGGCATCTCCTTATCTGCAGACTGATAGGATTAGACTAAAACTGCTGCACAGACTCTTTCAAATTCCTGCCTCGCAGGGGTCTTTAAGATTCCTAAAGGACAGGTTGGGGTGTGGAAGGGCACGCCATAACCCCAGTACTGGGGAGGAAGAGGAAGGAGACTGTGAGGTACAGAGTGGGCTGCAGTAGACTGTCTCAAAAATCCTGGGGCAGGGGCCACAAAGTAAAATTTGCTTTCTCAGAACGCTGTTACGGCAGGGAAGGTTGGAGAACCTTAAATCCGACATTTAATGAGAACTCATTTTTTTTTTCAAAATTATTATTTTTAAAAACAGGGTCTAGGGTAGCCTCCAACTCTAGCACCTCCCAAAAATAATTTTTTTCCCTAATTTCATAATCTCTTCTCCACCCACTTCTTTCACTGGTCTGTAAGAAGTGGCCTAGAGGCTTAGAATCTGTTCTTTTTCCTAGGTAAGCCCCAGTAAGGTATTTCCAGGCTAACGCTTGCTGATTCTTCCCTGGAGACTTATTTAGACCCGAAGCAGGGCTTCCCCATTTTGGTGGGTGGGGCTAATCACCCGGCACTCTGCTTAAAACACAGATGGCCAGGTATATCGTCCTGCTCTAGGCCCGAAGTTCAGCCTAAAGTCACATGCTGTAGATACAGGGTTCTGCCGATTCTGGCTTTTCGCAGTCTTTTCCTGCTGAGAGGCGTGGACTGTGCCTGGACAGAGTTGCCAGCCTCCCGGCGGGAAGGAAGAAGAACAGATGGCCCGCTGGGGGTAGGGGATCACGTGTCAGACCTCACATTGGGCAGGATCCACACCTCTCCCTTTCCCGGCCTGGTCTCTGCAGCTTTAGCGATCCCACCCAGTGCACATAAAGGGCCTACTGTGGAAAGTTATGTTCGTTTTACTGAAAGCAGAATTAGGGAAGGTGGTGGGCTTAGGGAGGACGTAGACAGGACTGAAGGGGTGGGCTCTCCATTACAGTGATGTGCCTGGAACTGAAACACAATCCGATAAAGCCGGATCTGGCGAACCGATTGTGGCCAGGTTGAGTTAACACCCAGTGTCTGGAGGGGGCGGGGAGCTCCGGCAAGCGCGAAAACTTACACGACGCCCTACTTTACTCGCGCTCCACTAAGCAGCCTACCGCAAAACTCCAGGCCTCTCCATTGCAGAGCGGAAAGGCCATCCGTTCATGCATATGCAGGAGGATAAGTTTAGCCCGCAGCCCCCTGTGCTCAGAGCAGCCCCGCGTGGCGCTCGGAGGCGGGTGCTCTGCTCCGGCCGCAGAGTGGCGGGCGGTTCAGCCACTCGCGCGCCGAGCGTCTGGGCCTGGCATCGCCCTTTTAAAAAGTCTTCCGCAGGCGGCCGCCGCAGCAGCAGCCGGAGGAGGCAGGTTCATCTGAGGACAGTCCCAGTTCTCAGAAATCCCTTCCCTGCTGGAACATCAAGCTCCCTTTGCTGCAGTTGAACAAACTGCCCTAGATTGGGGGACGAGGAACCCGCCCCAAACTCGTGCAAGGAGCTCCGGGCGCCCGCGCCCACGTGAGCTAACCTTGAAATTAGCCCCCCACACCTGAGCTGGGGGTGGAGCAACTAGGGAGGGTTGCTGGGCCCTCGGGGCGCTAGCCACTGGCTTTGCACCCTCCACCAGCGCGCACCGCCCTGTTTCGTAACTCTAGAGAGATTTTTTTTTTTTTAAATCTCTGGGGTACCATGGGTGTGAGGTGTGCTGAGAAGGCAGGCCACCTTCCACCCCCACATCCTCGAAGATCAGGAAAACCTGCCCTGCGGTACCCCTGGGAACACTGCAGAGTAGGGTGTCACGATGACATCAGCCTCTAAACATAGTCCGCACCGCACCCCAACTCTGGGCGCTGCGAGCGAGGCGCGGGGGTGGGGGTGGGGTGGCTGGTGCTGCTGTCCCCGGGCGGGGCGGGGCGGGCTGACCGGCCAGCCAGGCTGTGCGGGTGAAGATGACTTTGCAGGAATCGTGCTCTCGGCGACTGCGGCGGGCACAGTCTCTCCCGCGATGACCCGGCCACGCGGCCAAAAAAACCAGGAACGTCTTTCCGCACCCTCCCCATGCCCCACAAAAGCTACGCGCACACGCCTGCAGCCTTTCGACCCAGTGTGCCTTTTATTTATAAAGCCAACCCATCCCCAGCTCCGGTACCCGGGTTCGATCCGGTGCCGGCGTCCCCCCCAACCCCCAGCCCCGGGCTCCGGTACTGCCTCGGGGCTAAGCTTGCGCTGGGGTCGGCGCGGCCCTCTGGGTGAGTCAGAAGGGCTGTGTTTCCTGTGGTTGTTGTGGAACAGTTTGTCCTTTTTACCCCCTCCCACCCGTCTCCACCCCCTTGGTAAATATAGCGCTCACGTTTCATCATCTCTTTGTCCAAACGAGCGCCAGACACCCCGGCCCGCGGCCCACGCCGCCTCCCTCCTCCTCCAGGCTCGGTTACCTCGCATAACCCCGCGCACTGGCGGCAGCAGCAGCCGCCCCTCGGTACCGGCGCCGCTCCCCGGCGCTTCCCACCACAGGACACTCCTGCCCTCTCTCATCGCCTCCCCTCCTCCCAAGCACACCCAGGCCCTGGTCCCACCCATTCTCCCCGAAGTCCCCGAGATGTTGGGAGGTAGACACCCTAACACCCTGGCCGCTGGGTCCTCCACCCCCTTCCGTCGCAAGTCCCACGTCCCAATGATGATGATGCCATGTTCCCCTCCGATTGAGCAGGTGACAGGAGGCTGAGACAGTTCTGATTCACCGACAGTTGCTCCGTACTTCGGGGTGGGTGCTTGGCGAACTGCCTTCCTCCCACCCCTACCCCAGTAGGGACGTGGGCTGCAGGGGTCGGGAAGGCGAGGTGAGTGGATGACAGGCAAAAAGTGCGTGCTTGTTCTTCACTCTCCCTCCCACTCCCGGTTTCATTTCCACACATCCAGCCACCCACCGGGACCGGAGGCGGCTGGTGTTCTCTGAACACCGGGAACTGGCTCACAGTGGTCTCCTGTTTACTTCCCTCCTCCTCTCCCTCCCTCCCTTCGCCCATCACCGGGGCTGCCTCCCCCCTGCCTAGAGCAGCTGGGAAACCTGCCGCAAAGCACTGCAGTCATGGGACTTTCCTGTGCCCGTGGGCCCCTAGTTTGCCCTGTCCTGCCCTGCGACCGCTTGGGGACTTGAGGCTCCTAATCCAGCAACTCTCTCCTTCGCTCTTGTCTTCTCTACCCTCCTCTGCCCCCCATACCTTCCTGCGAAGGCAGGGCCTGGCAAGCCTTTTTGGCTGGAATTCTGGGCCACCCCCATGAGCGGCCACCTGTCTGGGGAGAAGTGGTGAGACCAGCTGACGACAGATCCTAAGAACTCTGCACCCAGGAGGCGAGGGAGCTGGCTTCTTTGCCACCACAGACTGTCCTGTGTATGCCAGCTGCCCCAACTTTCCCTAGTGGCTCCCCAAATCTATTCCCAGGGACACACCTCGAGAGAGGCAAGCCCTTCCCTTTCAGGCTTGCTTCCCTGCAGGGAAGAATTCAGCTTTTCCTTACAGTTAAGCTGAATGAACAAAGAGAAGGACAAGGGGTTCCAGCTCTGTATGCTGCCTGCCTGAGCTTCACCCCATTTTAAAAAAACACCTCTTCACCGCCCTCTGCTCACTGCCATGGTTACCACCGCCCTGTCCTTGAGCAGCACTGGTGGTATAAAGGCAGAAGCAAACAAGGGCATTTTAAGAGTTCTTTTAAATATCCAAAACACTGGGTTGGTATTTGGGAAGCAGAGAGAAGGAAATAAAAGGTCTGGCTGTTGCCTGTTTCCTTCTGACTCCAGGACCCTGAATAAATCCTTCACCCTGGATGGCCTTTTAGCCC